CTGCTGATTACAGAACCGGCTTTTTTAACAAAATGCGCATGACAATCGCATTCGATTAATCGTGCAGCCCTATTTTATATGCTTACTCAATTTGTACTTAAAACATTTCTTATTATCAGTGCTGAAAACAGTTGCGCTGCTTAATTTTGTGGAAACTAGAGCCCGACCGATATGGGTTTTTTGGGGCCGATACCATGTCAAATTACTGTGGATAAAAAAAATATATATTCTGAACCCCATGTGGATTTACACAAACTGAGAAAGTCAAAAAGTGTTACTTTGTGGTACTAAAGTGTGTACTTTTAGGTTACATAATACACTTTGTATATACTTTATATAATGTTTCCTATGTTTAATCAAATTTAACTTAACTACAGAATCTGAAATGGTTTTATTTATTGAAAAGAAAGAAAGAGGAGAAAACAGTTCAAAACACTTTTAAGATGGCTTAATATAGCTGATTATCAACCTAGATAATTTGCCAATCCATCACTAGTACATAGTTTTGTGTATGCATTTAAGTACAACAACTAAACAGTTATATTTTACCAACTGCACTCGATACCAGACTTCAAAGAAACAAACATGGGCCTCACCTGGGTTTTCGGGAGCGGTACGATCGTCCATCACTCGACCCAGTGCCATTGCGGATGTCATAACCATAAAAAGCAATTAGCTCTTCGCGTGATTTTGGCGCCTGCTCCTCTTCACGGAACTTGTCGTGATCCCAACGGCCCTCGTCCTTCCACAACTTCCTGTGCCTGCCTTTAGGCCTGATGACAGATGGACAAATAGAAAAAGGGGGAGGAAGAGAGACAGCAAAATGAAACTATGAACCACATGGTTTTGTGTCAGATTCAACACCTGAAACTTATCTTTAACTATTTAAAATTAAAATATGATTTTATAGTTGGAATGGGAGTTTTCCCTGAATGAAAATCCCTCATGTCTCTCACCTCTCCTCCTCTGTAGCCTGGCCTCTCACGTCGTGCTCAAAGAAAAGGCCTTTTCGGGGGATGTAGGCTGGATTCTTCCTGTCCTCATCATCGTCCAGCTTCTGGCCTTTGCTGCCTGATTTATTCTCAGGGTCCTCGGTGCTTTCCTGTAAACATGTAGAGGTCTCAACTTCAGTTTTGGCCTAAAAAAAGATTTACAATTAAAACACAACTGGCAGTGTGATTTAGCATTGTCTTAGTCCAGAATGTGGCATTGTGGCCAACTGCTTTAAATCCGTCAAAGGATTACTTTATTGTTAATTATGTTTAAATATCATTCCCGCCACACAAGCTGAACCTGGGCCCTGCCAGAAATTTAGAGTAGGAAAAGATGCCATGTTCTGTTCTTCCATACCTGTCCGTCCCCACTCTGGCGCTCCCCAGCTAGATTCCCCTTCTCATCATCTTTAACTTCCTTGTCCCCTCCATCTCTCTCCTCCTCTTCACCAAGCTCTTCTGTCGGGGCATCTGCAGCGGGCTTCGGTTCTGCGGCAGGACGTGAGGCCTCTTCATCACTGAAATGCTCTGCCTCCTCCTCTTCCTCTCCTCCCTGAAACAAGAAGCATCAAACAACAACAAATTCTCAGGTCAGAAAACACACAAACTAAAACGGATCACATCAAACGTCATTCCGATAAAGCACACTGGCACAAATTTTAGGAACACAAAAGAACGCAGCTTGGCTGAAGCTCTAAAATTGTAGCACTATTCTACAGTGTCTTTGTTACATGTTACATGTACTTACTATAGTAACAACAGTAGTATAGTAACTAACACTAAATAGACATGGTAATTAATATTACTCAGTACTTATTTGTATAATTGCACTGTAACAAGCACACCAAAAAAATAACCAAATATCATCACATTCGATAATAAAATAAACAAAAACAAGCTTTTTCCTGTCATCATAGAAAAATTAAAATGTAAGTGACAAAAAGCACAAACTACTAAAGCCAAAGTGAAAATAAAAACTGAAAGTCAATTCAAAACATTCATAAATGTTATGATAGTATATAAAAGTAAAATATGGCAATATGAGAAAGACGGGTGTCAACTGATTTCAGTACATTAAGAATAGTGGTGGACAGTATATATATATTATATTTTTTTTTTCAATAATTTAAATCAATTTAGCAAATCAAATCTTTTACAACTAGGCATGGGCCGATTACCGGTTTCAAGGTATACCACGGTTTTAACATTTCACGGTTTCAAAACCGCTAATATTTCCCGTTATACCGTTCCTGCGGTATGCACTGTTTTTCATGTCTCCTCAAAGACTGAAAGTGTAGGAATCCCTCAGGTTGAGTGCAGTGTAGAGAGTAACACGACCCTCCTCCTCCTGTTGGTGCGAGCGAGCGGTCAGTCACGTGTGTAACTTACGCGATTGGCAACCGGCCGTTTTTTGCCTTATTGCAACTCGTCTCTGTTCTGCTTTGCTTGTGACTTGCACAAACTGCGCTGCAATGCAATCATTTTCCAAAATGTAATTTATGTGAAAACATGAAGTCTGTAAACGCCCGTTAACACAGGCCAGAGACGCTGAAGACGGACGCACAGAGAAAAATACTGTAGC